CACTTGCTCTTGTCATGTAGCACATAATACCCATGCTTATATATTCCTCTAAATGGGACTAATCATTTGGTTAGTTTACCCACAATTACCTGCTACATTTCCTGCTCAAAATCAAAACCTCTCAGTTTGAAATTCTAAATCCGGTCACCTGGGAGTATGATACCTAGAAATTAGCAAGATTTACATCTGCATAGACACATATAAGATGATATTGTCAGAAAAGCAAACAAAATTGCTTTAATGGGAATAGCAGTGTTTTCATTTATGACTAACAGCTCCTGGATATTGTACCTATTGTACCTATGTTGATAAAACACAGCTCCTTTCCTCCCTTGACCATGCAGTTTTGAAAACATTTTTAGAAGTATGTGTGCTTTGCAAATATTGAACACTTACCTGCTGCATTTTGCTAGTTTTTGTTTTGTTTTGTTTTGTTTTTTAAAGACACCTCTTGGAAAGCTAGTTAATCCAACTTTCTCCTGTGGGAAGAACCTTAACTATTCCTGACATGTGTCAACCCTTTTTAGGGTTTTCCAGGTAGAGATACCATACTCAGAAGTGATTTACCTTTCCCTTCTTCTGGGGGTGCCCTGTGACCGTGCAGCTTGCCCAAGGCCACACAGGCTGGCTCTGCTTAAGCATGGATCAGTATGTTTTCTAACTGCAACTTGCAATGTCCCGGAATGCAATCAAACATGGCAGATGCCTCCGTCTGTGGATGTGTGCCCCTCTGTCTTTAATATGAAACAACATATGCACAAGCCCATTGCAGCAAGTCAGTCAGTAACTCAATGCTCACTTTTAAAATTTAATTTTACATAAACGCAAGAATTTCTCCCTTCCCACCCCATCTCCACCCCCATCCCCAACTGGAAAATATGTACCATCTTGCCATTAACCACTGGCTTCCAAATTTCCTGAGCTTATCCTCTCAGACTAGTGCCAGAATTCACAAGGAAAGAGAACACCACACATTACTCACTAATTTCCTTTCACACCCACTGCACATCTGCATTTGGCATAACAGGAAATTTTAATTAAGTTTTTAAATATATATATATATATTAAAAAAGACAACCCTCAAGCATGATGATTTCATTTCCAAAATAAATAAAAGCAAGATGGCATCTTTCTCTCCTGGGAAAGGAAGAAGCCCAGTTGGACTCTTCCCAAAGTACGGTTGGCGTCCCCACCACCACCGCACATTTCCCTGCCTCCCACTCTGCAGCTGAAACATCCTTTTCAATTCTGCAGTGAGATTTATTGCTTATGAAATTGACAGCTGACAGCTCTGATTAAAGCCAGGCGCACCACACAAGAAAAACGCTACAAGGAAAACAGGGAGTCCTCCCCATGCTACTGAAGGGTGCCCCACCTCTTTGAACTTTAACCTCGTTCATTTCTCCCCATTCCTAGCTTCAGAGGACTTTCGTACCACCTTGAATAAGCATCATAGAGAGGAGGGCAAATGTCCAGTAAACCTAGATATGAGCTAGCTCGGTTTGCTTTCTTTTATATACAGCATATGTGAAATGTCAGCTTTAGCTGGCAAATGAGTACTGTGTACTATTTTTAAAGCCAAGAGTCTCAGAAACAGCTCACCCAGCCGGCGCATGCACCCATGTGTGGGTGTGCACACATGCACACTTATTTTGTCTTCTGTGTTGTTCCAGAGGTACCCATAAAACTAACTGACTGACTAACTGACTGACTGACTGACTGACTGATTAAAGAAAGAAAGAAAGAAAGAAAGAAAGAAAGAAAGAAAGAAAGAAAGAAAGAAAGAAAGAAAGAAAGAAAGAAAGAAAGAAAGAAAGAAAGAAAGAAAGAAGGGGAAAGTAAACCACTTCTGTGTATTCTCTAACTTGAAAGCCCTGGAAAGGATCTCTATAAGTTGTAATCAACTTGACGGCACAGAATAGATACATACATACATTTCTTACAGGGGATCCAAGGCAGCTCACAACAATAAAAAATGAACAGGTTTAAAAACTATACAAAACATAGTAAACCCCAATTAAACATTACAGTGGGGTCTTGACTTAAGACTGTACATACATTTCTTACAGGGGATCCAAGGCAGCTCACAACAATAAAAAATGAACAGGTTTAAAAACTATACAAAAGATAGTAAACCCCAATTAAACATTATTCAGATTAAAAACATTTTTAAAACATTCAAACTCTCATAAATACAGCATTCCCTCAAATCCCCACTAATTGATTAAAAGCCTGTCTGGAAAGGAAGGGATTTGCCTGATGATGAAAGGACAAGAGGGTGGAGGCCAATCTGGCTTCTTGGGACAGTGCATGCTGAAGCCTGGGAGCAGCCACTGAGAAGTCTCTTCTCCCATGTTCTCCACCAAACAAGTTTGAGAAGAAGGTGGGACAGAGAGAAGGGCCTCCCCAGAAGATCTTAAAAGCTAGATAGGTTCATATGATGTGATAAGATCCTACAAATAGCCTAGACCCAAGCTGTTCAGGGCTTTATAGGTAATAATCAGCACTTTGAATTGAACCTGGAAACTGATGGACAGTCAATGAATCATGTGTAATATGGGAGTTATAAGCTCCCTGTAACCAGAGCCAGTCAGCAGGCTGGCTGCAGCATTTTGAAGCAGCCAAGTTTTTGAACATTCTTCAAGGGCAGCCCCATGTAGAACATGATGCAGTAATCTAGACAAGATGTAACTAAGGCATGCATCACCATGGCCAGATTAGACATCTCCTCTACACATAGTGTTGCTTTTCTTCTTGTGAAGTTCCGGATACTTCTTAACTCTCAAAAACACTGGCCAAAATCTTATTGGCGTTTGTAGAAGGTATGTGTAACTTGCTGTAGCTAATTGTGACTAATGGAAGAGGTGCCATGCCCATTTTGGTTGTACAGTGAAGTGTGCATCCAAGCATGTAGCCACCTCCCGTTCAATGTGGCAAGTTATGCAAATCTTATGAAAAAAAAATTAGGTTCTGGTCAGTGTTGCGAAGGAAAGTACAGGATATGAGTCACTAAGATCTAAGCCTTATGTACAACAATCCAAGGATAGCTGTTATTTATTTATTTGTTTACATAAACACGCTCCATCCCATACTGCTTCGAGCGCTCTCTGGGAGGTTACACCATAATTATGCAAACAATAACTTGCCCCCCTCCAGCAAGCTGGGTACTCATTTCACTGACCTTGGAAGGATGGAAGGATGAATAAACCTTGAGCCAGTTACTTAAATCCAGGAGGTATACAAGTTACTGATCCTTAGTTGCCAAATATTGTGAGGTAGACACCATGGGTATGGCCTATAAAAATCAGACATTAACCTGGAGTTACGAGCTGCCTCTGAGCCATAAAATCATATGGTTGGAAGGAACACTGGAGATTATAAAATCCAAATTGTTTCATCCTAGTGCATCCCAGATGTGTGGAACTGCAAACCCCCACCAGTCCACTGTAACTGGAGATGATGGGACATATATCTAACACATCTGCAATTAGGGAAGGATGATATAATGCAACCTGCTGCACAGTCCAGGCTGCCCAGAGTGCCGTGCAGCTACAGCATCCCAGGCAATGTCTCACTCAGCCTTCACTTACGTATGTACCTCCAGAGACCGAGATCCCACCAACTCCTGAAGTAATCTGGTTCCGGTGCTGAGTGGGCCCCAACTGGTTGGGTTTCTGTTACTGCTTAGTTGGAAAATGCTTCTCTGACATTTCTACCCACTAATAAAACAGCAATATTTTGTAAAACAAGCAAGCAACCGCGTCTGTCTCCAGCAAATTTAAATTGCTTTGTTCCCCATCACATTTCCATGTCAATGAAAATCATGAGGGCCTAAGCTTTCGTGCTTCTCCCCATAACCTTCACACACTGAAGTTGGTTGAAACTGAAAGGACCATCTCCTCTTATGTGGGGAAAAAAGAATTTCTCCACTGTGAATCTGGAATAATTTTAATAGAGTGGTGAAGTTACTTCAGTTTAATTTCAGTGAATGAAAACATAAACTGGTCCATGATTCAGTGGACATTTCAAGAAAGAGAGAGATCCATGGATTTGTTGACATGGCGTTTAAGTGTGGTTTGAAAATGTTTTTATGGTGGCAATATTTGTGCAGAAATTTTTTTAGAAACTTATACAAACTGTGTCAAAGTGGTGTACTTCTGGTTGTTGTGGGGTTTTTGGCCTCTTTGGCCGTGTTCTAAAGGTTATTCTTCCTAACGTTTCGCCAGTCTCTGTGGCCCGCATCTTCAGAGGACAGCCCTCTGTGCTCTGGTGTAGTTTGCTTGGGAGGGAAGTATTTATGGCTGTGAGATAGGCCTTTGTCCTTTTCAGGAGATGGGTGGTTAGTGTGTCTTGTTGTGGGTGCATTGTTGTGATAAGGAGGAGAGATTATCTGTCACTGTGATTGATGGGTGTCATTGTGTGTAGTGATGCCCGGTCCTTGTGGCTGTGTAGAGGTTGTTGACCTTTTGCACACTGTATTTTTTAGAGCTGGGAGCCAAGTTTTGTTGAGTTTCAAACTTTCCTCTTTTTTGTTGAAGTTGGTATACTTCTCTTTCTTCTTCAAAGTTGATGGTCTGTCCTTCCTTCCTTCTCTCCTTCCTCCCCTGCCCACAGTAAAGTCTGCCTATTTTTGTCCCATCTGGAGATATTTCTCTTTCTGCTGGTACTTTTTCGGCATCAAACACCATCCACAGCATGACAACATATCCCTGTGGGTGAAATTTCCTTCCCTTAATACAGCATTTTCACAGTACTAATCATCTCAGTCTGTTTATGTTGGTGCAAAGTGAAGCTTTGAAAAAGGAATGTTTTATCTTTTTTTATTTTTTTATTTTTTATAAATTATGTAATGTTTCATCAAGCTTTTTGGCAAAACAAGAAAGTCACATTCCTGTCTGGCAAATAGATAAGATTATTCCCCTTGCAAATAATGCATCTACACTTGTTACCAAAATGTTAGTAGGCACTCTCTCTATATTGATGTTTTTTTGCGTTTCCAGCACCCTGTGTACTGTGTAAATGTAGTTGGAACACAGAATGCTCACAACCTCATTACAGTTTCTACAGACGGAAAGATGTGCTCCTGGAGTCTGGATATGCTCTCAACACCCCAGGTGGGTTTGTTTTTACCTACATAAGAAGAAAGTGCCAGGGCTAAAGCTGGCAGCTACTTTAATGGTGCATCATTCCTAAAAGCTAAAACCTTACATCCTAGACTGACTAAAACCTGTGGATGTACTTGAAAGAGTGCAGCTTGCTTCCCACAATTGGTTCCTCTAAGAGCCGAAACACATTTCCTCTGCCTCAAATCATGTAATTATGGTAATGTTTTAATACGCAGGTCAGTTTCAAGTGAAAATGAAATAATCTGTTTTAAAGTAGAGGTAATCATACAGGTTGCCTGTGGTACACATCACACTCGCTCTTCTACAGCATTGTTTAGCCAACATAGGCTAGACTGTAACATGACGGTCACAAAAAATGTAACTTCTCATTCGTATCCAATGACTTAACCAAACAAGTGGATCACACTGCAAGTCTGACAAATACAGTGGGGTCTTGACTTGAGAACTTAATCCGTATTGGAAGGTGGTTCTCAAGTCAAAAAGTCTGTAGGTCAAGTCTCCATTGACCTACAGTGCATTGAAAACCGATTAATCCCATAACAGGCTGTTTTTGTTCCATGTTGGGTTTTTTCTGGTCTGTAAGTCAAATCTCAGGCTGCAAGTCAAACCTAAATTTTGCGGCCAGAGAAGTCTGTAACTCAAAAAGTCTGTAAGTCAAGCCGTCTGTAAGTCGAGGGTCCACTGTGCTGTACATATTTTTTCCTCCTTTTGCACCTGCATTCATGTGCTGTTGTTTATTATTGTTAGTAATGATAGTTTTTAGTATTACAGAAAAGAACTGTTTGATTATTGTAAATCTAGAATAATGAAAACATACAGGGCGGAGGGCAGGACGTGTTCTTTACATCGAATGACACATTAGTAGGGGAGCAAAACTTGGCTCTTTCTTCACATGCTGCATTCTGTGAATGCATTCATCATTATCATCTTAGCTGGCAGGGACCCTATAGATCATCGAATCCAGCCTCTGTCAAGGGGAATTGACAGTTGGGAATCACATTCCCAACCTGTGGTTCCACAGACAGATGCTTGAACCACTGAGCTATCCAGCTTTCCTGGCCTACCTTCAACACAAGAAGCTAGCCATGCAGGAAGTACACTGCTAGAAGCAATGGAACACAGTGAAGCAGTTTTGGGGATATATCTTCACTTCCCTGCTCCTATCATGTATAAAATAAATACCTGTGACCTCCTTTCTTTTCATGTGATCTGGGAATAAAGGTCTTTGCTTGTACCATTCATGCAGATAGAGAATAAAAAGTTCAAAAGAAGTCTCCTTGGTGGGCAAGGTTGCGTACTTTATTTGTGGATTTTCATATTTCAGCATTTTTTTGCAAAACATTTGCAGGAGTGTGTTTTGTACAAAAAATGGGCATAGAAATTCTTATATTTTGCATAGGAGACCTTGCACTTTGTACAGAAAACCTTGTACTTTGTGCAAGAATAATGGACCTTTTTGTGTTGTAAAGGAGCAAAAAAAATATCTCGTAGCTGTTGCTCAATTTTAGCAAGGCAACAGACAAGAAAATTTGAATTTCTTACCTCCTTAGGTAAACATAGGGATGCACTACATGTGGCTTTTTGTTTGTGTTTGGATTGCCCCTAAAGATTATTGTGAGACAATATGCAAAGGCAGAGAGGAGGAAGGAAAGGCAGATTAGATTATGTATGTAGAAGATGCTACCCTAGTCAAGGACTCCTGTGATTTGAAGTAGGAACCCTAGACTTAAGTTAGGGTTTGATATGGTGAATGATCAGGGATTCAGGACTCAATGCTCTTTTAAAAATAAAAGGCACAGAGCTTGGATAAGTTACTTTTTAAATGGGGGTACTACAACTTCCAAAGCACCCCAGGTTGCAGAAGTCATTGTCTCCTAAAATAATGTTGCCATACTTTGAGTAGAGGCAAATAAAGATGTGCAGTGTCGGTTCCTTGAATACGCAAGGTGGTGGGCCCTCCTGCTTTGGGCAGGCCTGGTGATATAAGTACCACAACACTTGTCTTCTGCTTTTACCTGGACAAAAGAGCTGTATATTTTGCTTATTGTACTTCTGCCTCCCAACAATGGATTTAACAAACCTTGTGATGGAAAACAATGCACCCACCACGTCCAGATTTGTATAGCTGCTGTAACCTAAAAGGAGCTTTTGAGAAGGTGAGGTTCTGCAAGATAACTCCTCACCTACATCAGTCTCTTCATCTGAATCTGTGGCTCCATTCTCAACTTAGGGAGACTCATATAAATCCAGAAGTAAAATAAAGAGCAAGGGCTTCTTGATGGCTGATCCCAGATTGTGAAACAGCGAAATTACCTATCTGCAAAAGTATTAAGAAAACAGTTTTGCCATATACTCTGTTTCTGTAATTAATCAGATATATATTGCAAAAAAAGGCCTCCGTTTTTATTTATATTGCAAAATGCCTCCGGTGTATTTTGCTAGGAGAGCATGGAGCTGGTGTACAATAAATCGAAGCCGGTTGCAGTTACAGGAATGGCTTTCCCAACTGGAGATGTCAATAATTTTGTAGTTGGAAGTGAGGAGGGCACTGTCTACACAGCTTGTCGTCATGGAAGGTATGTTGATTTTGTTTATGCTTTTAAAAAAAACACATTTTATTGTGACAAATATGTATGTGTGCCTGTGTTATAAAGGTCAGAGGAGATATGTAGGAGATATCCAGACACATTATACCTTTAAAGAACTGATAGTGTTTTGGATTTTGTTTGGAAGAGTAGGAGTTAAACTTCTACTTTTTTTTTTTTTTTTTTTTTAGGGAACAGTAGGAGTTAAATTTCTATTTTTATTTTATTTTTTGCTTGTAAGGGGTACAGGAAACATCTAATGTGATGCTGTTGGTTCAAAGAAAAGTACATGTAAACATTACAGGGGGATCTGATACAGGGTTCTCATTTTGCACTGAAATGTTATGTCGAGCAGCATGATATTCATTCTATCTTGAAATGAAAATAATTTGAAGACTCTTTCTCTTCCTTCCATCCATCCATCCATCCATCCATCCATCCATCCATCCATCCATCCATCCATCCATCCATCCTTCCCCTTCCTTCCTTCCTTCCTTCCTTCCTTCTTCTGTTCTGTCCTGAGAACTAAAAATATTTTGCAAAGGGAACATAGCCCACGGGTAAAGAGTGTTGCAAGTAGTACTGCAGGTAAATCCTGTTGGTAGTAGTTTAACGGCACAGGTAGATGTTTTCTCATACTGCAGCCGTCAATTTTTTGCTCCAGGAGCCATACCAAAAATGTCACAAAACTCAAAAACAAAATTGCATATGCTGTTGGATTTTTCCTAAATGTATGCCTCTGTCTTTCTACAGTAAAGCTGGCATTGGTGAGGTCTTTGAAGGCCACCAGGGTCCTGTCACAGGAATCAACTGCCACATGGCAGTGGGTCCAATTGACTTCTCTCACTTGTTTGTCACCTCATCCTTCGACTGGACTGTCAAGCTGTGGACCACAAAGGTACCAAATGGAAATGGGTTAGGGTTGTTCTGGTGTTTGCTCTCTCTCTTAGTCACAGGATGACCCTGGGGGAAATGGGACAGGTGGTGATTCTAGTGAACCATGCTGTAGTTTTACCCTAGAAGGGGAGCAACACCCACCCCACATGGCAACAACCAGTTAAGATCCAGATTTCTGTGGAGAACACTGCCAGAGCAGGGAGTGTGTGCAGACAAAACCTGAAGTGCATGGGTCCAGAGGCATAGCACATTCTTCTCCCACTCTTTTTAAAACTCAGATACATTTAACCCCATCTGTTCACAAGAACTTTTATTTTTTTCCAGTCAGTTTTTCCTCCAAAGCCTAGTTGCCAAGTGGGAAGCAATTTGGGTGTGTGTGAGAGAGTTGTAATTGTGGGGTTGACCTTTCCCTCCCCAGTTGACCAGTTGACCAGTTCCTCCCCCCAACACACACAGAATGCAACAGTTAGAAGGGAGGTCCTACTTGAAATGAATGAAGTTTTCTACCAAAGCCTAACTGCTATGCAGGGGGTTGTGATGGGGCAGAAGGAAACTTGTATGTGAAGGACAATTAACTTTTCTCCTTGCTCTGTTCAACCCAAAGCTTATGTTCTCTGTACAGCATCGAGGCAGTGGCAGTGGGATCTGATTACGGTGAATGGGATCTCTTTTTTTGTAAGCGAGTTTGCCATATAGAAAGGGAAAGAGTGGGCTGAGAAGAAGAGGTGGCAAGTTGGATCCAAATTTTCAGTTCCTGCTTTCTGCGGAAAAAGAGCTCCTTAGAGAGTTGGTAGTTATGAGGAATCATTTTAATGTAACCTTCTCATTAATGAGGATGGCAGATTATAGAGCACTCATTTGGCCCAGTTTGCTACCAACTGGGGGAAAAGGCTGAGAGATGAGTTCTTATCTAGATGTTGAGGGAATGTCTGTTAAAATCAGTGCTTAACAGGAAACTTAGACAACTACAAACAACTAGGAGCCCTCAGTGGAACTGGGATTTGAAATTAGGTTGATTATTGAATGCTTAAACATTTGCATTTATGATGCATTTGTTAAATCAAATATATTAGAGCTGAAATAAAATTCCACCCATTTCAAAATATGGGATATTTTTTTGCAAATCTGAATTTGAAGTGTGAATCTCAGAATTAAATACAAGCATAAAAATTCTGAATTCATCTCATCAGCATTTCCTGATACTTTCAGTACAGTTTTTTTCCATTGGGAAGAATTTTTTTCTTTCTCGGCAGAATGGCCACATTTTGTGCGAAACTGCCTGTAAAACCAGTCAGTTAATGAAATTTTGTGAATTTTGGAGATTGCCCAAGATTAGACTGCCTCCTACTTAGTTTAAAATTTTGAAGCACTTAAATGGGTTGTTGTCATCTTACCTAACAATCAGCCAACCCTTCTGTGCTTGCTGTGTGTGTGTGATGGTATGTCTATGTGTTTTTCAAAAGGAAGGGGCGCTAGAGCTATTTTAATACAATTTACAGAGGTCTTGAAGGTGTAAAAGTGCATTTTTGTCGGTTTCTTGGGTGGAACAAATCCTTTGAGGCATCAAAACACCTCCTCAGGGCATCTCATCCTGTCAAAACACCCTAAACTGACAAGAATTAGGAATTTAACAAGGACCATTCCACCCTTGCAACAGGCTAACGCTTAGGAAGTATTAATCCTCTCACAAACCTAGAATTCCCAGGTTTCCTTATAGAAAAGACATACTGTATTTTCAGGGATGCTGGAAAATATTGCAACAATATATAATTAAAGAAATGAAAGCAGACTATCTGGACTTACTCTTAGAACTCTGTAACACTAGGAAGATGGCTGACCTCAATACAGTATGTGGTGTTTTGAGGCCTGGGAAAGCAGTCTAGCTTTGACTGAAATAAAGGCTGGCTCTGCCATAAGATCCTAGCTCATCATAAAAAAAAGAATTCTGGTGCTGTAAAGTCAAAGGCATCCTGCTAGGATGAATCTGTTAAGTCTTGTATCTATTTAGGCATTAGTGCTTTGAACAAGTAAGTTGTTTTCTAAAGGCCACCTGTTCATTAATATCTACCAAAGGATTATTGACAAATGTTAATACATGGCAATGCCAACTCTGTTTGTCATATGGTCACGCAGAGAGAGAATTATATCACACCACATGAAGAAGAAGTAGGGTTGGGGTTTTTAGCTTATAAAAGAAACATCCCTTTAATTCTGTCCAAAATAATCCTAGCGATGGCTTCAAAAGGCAAACGCTTGTTTCTGAGTGTCGGCTGTACAGGACTGAACAGGACTTCAGCTGAATCTTTCGCTGCTTCTTTTTAGCCCAGTTGTTCTATAACTAATACTGAGAAGAAGGGCAAGTTAACCCATTGTGCCTTTTAAATATGGCCTGCCCAAAGAGAATATTCCTGTAAAACAACTGCTTTAGAATCACTGCTGGATGGCGAGCCATACAAGAGGCCACCCTTGTCAGACCATTTTTCCATGTGTTTTTTTAAAAAATTAAAAGCAATTTTTAAAAAATGTCATAATTTATCACGCAAACACAGGTATGGATAGCTCATAAACAATGTCGTACGCGTCACTGTAGACTTTCTCCTATTCAGAAAGTCACCCTTCATATTTGGAAGGTAGCTTGAAACTGCAGCATAGGGGGTTGAGATTAGATCACTCTCCTCACCACACATTCAACCTACAACCAATTGAACAGATGTTTCTGGCTTTTGTATCTGTCTGTTTTGGTTCATATTTACAAAATACATAACAGAGATTCCAGGCCACTTGTTATGTAATTCCTTGCTACTCGTATCATCATCATCATCATCATCATCATCTTAGAACTGTAGAGCTGGAAGGGATCCTATTGGATCACCACATTCAGCCCCTGTCAATGAGGCACAGTGTGGAGTCAAACTCCCAACCTATTTCAGCCATCCCATTTCTGCTTTGTCACAACTGCCACAATGTTCTTATCCTTTCTTGCCTTAATCCATCATATATGACACAACTGACGGATCTTCTGTTTTGTTATTATTCCTGCAGTTGCTTTGAAAACACTGTTGAGTCCTCAGTATAAGGGGAGGCATGGGCTCTTATGTGTGGTTTCTCCTGTGTGGTCAGCTATGGTAGGATTGTCAGGAAGTTACGCTTTTGATCTTTTCCTTCCTCTCCAGTCAATTTCCTTTACCTCCCACTTATACCCTGTTTGTCCTTCTGTAATTCTTTACCACGAACATGTTGCTTTGTTTTCTCTTGCATCCTTCCTCTTAATTTTGTCCTCTTCCATATTTCTTTGCTCTGTTTTTTGCATGGAACAGAATATTCACTCCCTTTTAGCACCAGTCCTATGAAACTGTGTTGAAAGCGAGAGATGGCGTAATAATTATTCAGGGGTCATTCATGGACTTAATGAGGATTATACAAATAATAGATAATCTTCAGCATTAAGCTAAGCCTGATCTAGAGTAGGTGTGAGAGGAAGAAAATGATTTTGGAAAAGAATCTTATATGTATGGTTGCCCAGAAATGTTACCAAACAGCCCTAGACTGTATTAGGCACATGAAATAAGGATGCAAGATAGAAGTGGCATAAAGAATTTTCTACTGCCATGGCTTGGATAACCACATGGTGAGACATCAGGGAGACTATGGTATGAGTGTGGGTGGCTAATCATGTCTACAAATAATATACAACTTAGAAAACAAACTTGTTCTTCTCAGCCCCCTCTTGCAGAATGAATATTGCACCAGAAGTAGGCGATGGGCAAGAGTACCTTATAGACCTCTGTGACGTTTACTCTGTGGGCCCTGTTTGTTTCACCAAGCGTGGAGCTCACACAAGTATCCCAACACTCCTTTCAACATGCTGCCACCAGTTGATCTCTTTATCAACCTATAATTCCTATGAAAGACTGAGGTCCATTTAGTACTGAGCTTTTAAACAGAAACAGGTTTATTGATTACAAGTTGTTTTAGCAATAGTTCTTAGGCACATTCTTAAAGTTACACAAAGCTTCAGTATTTTACTTTAACCTCTTCTATCTTAATTAATACAGGTCACACTCTGACTAATTACTCCTTAAACACACACTCTCTCTGACTCAAACCCAAATTCTTTTTCCAAACTCTGTTTCTCTGACTGAACTAACTAGACTCTGACTCACCTCTCCCTTCTAGTTTCTCTGGCTCCGCCTCCTGACAGCTCTCATTGGTGCAGGCCAATGCCATTATATATATATATATGAGGGCAAACTGCTGGGTTTCCCCTTACAGAACAAACATATTAAGGGTGGAGGTATGTGGCGAACACCCTGTCTTCCTATCCAATCCACAGGTCCTGACCCTGCTAATTGCAATTCACTCCCCTCTATGGGTTTCAGCATCCCCACTTCATCCTTGGGACGGAATGCTCTTTTCCGGGCCTTTTCATCACACCAGCCCACTTGCTTTTTGTGAGCAATCCTCAAGCTTTGCTCTGGTATTACTAAGGACTTTTGCAGACCCACACGTTGGCAAGGCGTCAAGATCTCTGGCAATGAGTATAGTTTAGCCTCTGTCTTGTCATTCCCAGTACCACTCATTTGGAATGTATCACATGTCTGACAAAACTGCTCAACTTGCTGACCCATTCCTAGCCAGTAAAAGTTCCTTGCAACTTGGTATGCAATATTCCCATGTGATCTCCAGAAGCATCACTATGCACCTTGCTTAAGATTTTGTCTCTACATTTTCCAGGTACAATACATTGTTTGAGGATTCCATCTCCACCCCTCTGAGACGCTAACAAAACTTCTTTATATAACAAATTGTTTTCTATTATAAATCTCTCTGGGCATTCAGGCGTTAATGAAAAGGGAGGTCCCTTAGCTTTCTCAAAGCACTACATAAGAGTGGTATCCTCCTTCTGTTCCTTAACAAAATATGAATTATTAGGGTATTTCATAAATATAACTTCTGCCATTTCATCCACATCAGAGTTTTCTTTTAAACTGGGGCTTTCCA